CTCATCCTTGAGAGCAACCTTCAGTATATCAAGAATTGTACGTCTACAGGTGTTGTTAATCTTAGCAATCTGATGCTCAATGCCTTCTTCGAAAACGCGTTTTGGATACTCCAAAGCCATGCCTGTAAAAAATGAGATCAAATAACATGATAGTCAGTAATTGATCGGTTTACATGTTAAATTGAACACAAAAGAATCAACAAAACACAAAGAACGAGTAACAAAGTTGACGCACATGTAATTGATCGGTTTACATGTTAAATTGAACACAAACGAATCACAAAAATAACATGCAAAGCAAATCAATATCAAAAAGGGGTCTCATTTTTCATCTCGGTTCATAGTTGAAGAGAGATGATAATTGTTGAGTTTCTAAGCTATCCCACTGTTTCTCTAATACATGCACATCGAACGGGATCCCAAATTCTAACCTTCGATTTTGGAAAAAGATGAACCGAGATGAAAATTGATCTCCAACTTGTGCTTAATCNTGCAAAGCAAATCAATATCAAAAAGGGGTCTCATTTTTCATCTCGGTTCATAGTTGAAGAGAGATGATAATTGTTGAGTTTCTAAGCTATCCCACTGTTTCTCTAATACATGCACATCGAACGGGATCCCAAATTCTAACCTTCGATTTTGGAAAAAGATGAACCGAGATGAAAATTGATCTCCAACTTGTGCTTAATCGGTGATGAAAGCTTCGTCCGCCTCCTCCCTATACCGATTTACAGTTCCAATTAGAACCACAGAAAATAAGAGCAATGAAATTCTAAGAGGATGTAAAAGAAAATACAAATACCAGGGAAAGAGGAAGGAGGAAGAATGAAGGAGGAAGGAGGAAGACGGAAGGATTCGCCGGAGAGAACGCCGGAGGAGGAAGACGGAAGGATTCGCCGGAGAGAACGCCGGAGACAGAATGGATTCGGCGGCGGAGAGAACACGAGGGGAGTTGGTGTTTTTGACTTAGGGATTTTGACTTAAACAATTTTAGTATGGTTATTAGTATATGTATTTTCACCTTTTTTAATTAGTATTCATATTTTTTTTATTAATTCTATATTTAAATTTAAAAAAATTAAATAATGAGCACTAAATTGGATTTTCATTAAAGTTTGTTCTAAGGGGACATAAATCATGGATTTTATTCTAAGGGGACAAATGTTGTGTTTTTTTGTCCCCTTTTGGCAAATTTCCCTTTTTTTTTTTGCCATCTAGTTATATTAAAGGGACAAAGCCCAAGGCCTAAGCCTAAACAAACAAACACTCTTACAAATCCAATAAGTCCACAAAACCCTAAAAACAAATGGAAATGCAAACAATTATACTTTGGGCCGTAAGCCCATCTACTCTCCAAACATAAGAGGTCCACTTGGAATTAGAGTTTTGTCTGCAACGCACCACTCTGCACTTGACCGCCATACCTTGACTCCTCTAGAGCCAACGCGAGACTTCCACCGAAGTTCAATCGGAACACAAATTCGTGCACACATCTCTCCACCATTTATCATCACTGGAGAGTACATAAAATATTCCTAACACAGATCTACGAACTCACATAAGATTAAACCCGTCTACCATCAATCCTCTATCACCATCATATAGCATGCGGCACCAATATCAGATCGAAAGGCAGAGCATCTGAAGAAACCTAGATTCGTAGATCTAAAAATTCGGGATAACACCCGAGGACAAAGCCGACAATAAATGTGTTGAGAAAACCACCATCTCCCGTCGATCAAAAGAGTACTGCGACATGGAACCTTAAGCCGACCGTTTACCTTTATCGGAACAGGTACCACGACGGAAACAAAAGCCGACCGTTTACCCTTATCGAAACAGGTACTACGACGAAAGCAAAACCCGACCGACCACCGAAAAAAGGTGTGCCAGCAGAATCAAAAGAAAACGGAAAAAGAACGACAACCAATAACAACAAACATCAAATCCCGACCGACGACGTGTCTGTGTAAGCACACCATCGTCGACCGAAAGAGCTATCTCTTATCTTCTTTTCTCTCTGAGTCAAGTTTTTGTTAATACTTACTTCCATTACTTAGTAGCATCATCGGTACAGCAAACTAATTTTTTAATGTTGTGGTAAATTCCTGTCACACCCTATGTAATGTAAGGTGTGTGGGAATTGGATAAACAACAAAATGTCCCCACACCTTGCATAGAGGTGTGGAGATTGGATAAACAACGAAATGTCCCCACACCTCGCAAGGTGTGGGCATTTGGATAAATCCCTTCCCACAAATATTCCTTAATTATTCAACCACCATTTCCATCATTTTATACTCTGTTCTGTTCATTAAATCTTCAAGCTTCTTTAGAAAAAAAGTCATCAATCAGATGAAATTTCGGTGATTTCCTTGGCGTGAATATGTGAAAGTGGTGCAGGATTCATGAATAGAAGAATCTAGAAGCCAAAAAGCAAGTTAAGTTAAGGAACGTCTAGAAGAAGTATACCCCCAAACAAAAACTCAAATTGAATTTGATAACAATCTCTCTCCATTTCACACATGGGGTGATGTGATGTGATATGTAAACCGACCACCATTTTTAGACCACACAAAATGCAAAATAATATCAGTACTAAAGAGATCATCCCAGTTTAGTACAGAATACCCCCCTAAAGGAAAAACATTAATAGCATTTGGTCCTCCGTTCACGTCTAGAGACAAATATAAAATAAGACACAAAAGGATAGAAAGAGACACAACACACAAATCTAAAAGAAATGGCAAACAGTGGTGAAGGTAAAGTGGTGTGTGTAACAGGAGCTTCTGGTTACATCGCTTCTTGGCTCGTCAAGTTCCTTCTTAGCCGTGGCTACACCGTTAAGGCATCTGTCCGAGACCCCAGTTCAGTACCCTTTTCCCTTCTCTCTTACAATATCTCTAGGGTTGAAAGGTTTTGTCATCAGTATTAGATTGGATTTTTTTCAGGTTTTGGGTTGGTTCTGTGATCTTGGATTCTCATTTTGTCTCTCACTTATTTGGTTTTTTTCCAAAGCTACATCTTAAAAAAATTGATGCTTTCGATGATCTCTTGATTTCATTGTTGTTTGTTAAATCAAATCAAATTTTTTGGCTTTTATTGTTAGTTTTGTTGTTGATTGTTTCATGATTCAACCCTTTTAGGTGATCCGAAAAAGACACAACACTTGGTTTCCTTGGAAGGTGCAAAGGAAAGACTTCACTTGTTCAAAGCAGATCTTTTGGAAGAAGGATCTTTCGATTCAGCTATTGATGGATGCGAAGGTGTTTTCCACACTGCCTCCCCGTTTTATCATGATGTCAAAGACCCTCAGGTTTTGATTTATTTATCTCCTCAAATCACTTCTGTTTTTGTTTTTCATTTTCTGTGGATTGTTAATGATGATCTTAGTAACTTTTTGTCCCCCATTTTTTAGGTTGAACTTATTGATCCTGCTGTCAAGGGAACACTTAACGTTTTGAACTCGTGCTCCAAAGCATCTTCTGTTAAAAGGGTTGTTGTTACCTCCTCCATGGCAGCTGTTGGTTACAATGGTAAACCACGCACACCTGATGTAACCATTGATGAAACTTGGTTCTCGGATCCAGAGGTTTGCAAAACTTCAAAGGTGTGTTTTAGTTTTGAGAAAGGCAACCCTTTGTGATCTTTTCATCTATTATAGACTAGTCGCTTCATTGTTCTATCTATATATATGTATGTGGCTCTTGGTTCTTGAAACAAAAGAGTAACCTTATCATCCCAACTTTGTTGTAATGGATTCAGATGTGGTATGTTCTCTCCAAGACCTTGGCGGAAGATGCTGCATGGAAATTCGCTAAAGAGAAAGGCTTAGATATTGTTACCATCAACCCAGCAATGGTGATTGGTCCTCTCCTGCAGCCAACTCTGAACACTAGTGCTGCTGCTATACTAAACTTTATAAATGGTAAAACAAATGTTAAGAAATTTTTTGTCAAATGTTAGAGATCCCATTTCGACTTCTCTGTTTTATTTACTTATTACTATACGCAGGTGCAAAGACATTCTCCAACTCAACTTTCGGATGGGTTAATGTCAAGGATGTAGCTAATGCGCACATCCAAGCATATGAGGTCCCTTCAGCTAGTGGACGTTATTGTATGGTCGAGAGAGTCGTTCACCACTCTGAGATTGTGAACACTCTGCGTCAGCTTTACCCAAATCTCCAACTCCCTGAAAGGTAAAAAACATATTCTGAACTGGTCCGGGTCATGTTGGATTTCTAACACTCTTGTTCCATACGCAGGTGTGCGGATGAGAATCCGTATGTGCCAACGTATCAAGTGTCCAAGGAGAAAATAAAAAGCCTTGGCATAGACTACATACCCTTGGAAGTTAGCATCAAGGAGACTGTTGAGTCCTTGAAGGAGAGAGGTTTCATAAACTTCTGAGAAAGCATTTGAGCCAACCAGATTCAGACATCGTACTTGCATTGTTCTTTTATGGGGAAAGATTAGTATGCTGTCATCCTACTTTGTTGTTGGTTCCTTCAAAACACATAATAAATTATGCAATAAACCAGTGTAATCTCGTGACACTTATTTCAATTTATGACAGTAGCTCTTATCATCATGGTTTTCATTATGATCATTTTTCATCAAAAACTTGGAAACTTTCAGATTCTTTCACAATAGTCAAACAATATTAAAAACAATATTACTTGGAGTCGATGTTAAGAACAATAGAAACAAAACAAAAGTCAGAAAATCTAAGATAACATCTTCATATCGTACATAGTTGTCTATTCAAGTAAACTAAAGCATTTGAAAACCCTGAATCTACAAATTATTGTGGAAACCAAAGAAAAAGAAATTACAATTTTTCAAAGAATACTGCTTTCTCTTTTTTTTTACGTTCTTTAAAGAGATACAGAAACAGAACCTTTACTGCTTTTTTAAAAACCATGACTTTCTCAGGTCTCGCCTTCTAATTGCAATGAACCATCTCTCATTAACTTGAGGCTCAAACTGTTGAATCTTTCCCTTGAATACTGTCTTGATGCTTTCCTCCAGTCAGTTCCAGCTTTCATCATTGCTGCAAACTCTTCGTAGCTTATTCTCCCATCCTAATCCCCAAGAAGCAAAAAAGAAAGATCAAGAGAAGACTTATAAAGTGCCACTAACCACCAAACTAGTAGCTTCGTCATCAAAGAACCATTCAAGACTTTGGGGTTACCTTGTCGGTGTCAACATCTTGCATGATAGCTGCAATAACTTCCTCACTGCTAGTATCCTCCTCATCATTTAAAGCCTGCCTCAGCTCTTCAATCTCTATGTAATCGCTCTGGTTCTGGTCGAAAAAGCTAAAAGCCTTGTGCAAATGTTCGTCGTTTGCCATCTTCTTAAGATGCACAGAGACAGCCACAAACTCTCCATAATTTAAAGTCCCATCCCCATCTACATCAGCCTGCACACACACAACCACACAAAAAACGTTTTCAAAAATATGTTGCTTGGTGAAGGCAATAATACATAGAAGAAACACGAAGTTCAAAGTTCTTAAGAAGTATTTTCTTACAGCTTCCATCAAGATCTGTAGATCAGCATCAGCCATCTGTTGCTGTCCGAGTTTATGAAGTCCATGTTTAAGCTGCTCGAGGTTTATCTTTCCCGTTTTGTTACTGTCCATCATCTCAAACGCTTCCTTTATGCCAGCTACTTCCTCTACTGATAAGTGTTCGGCTATCACCTAAAAAGAAGTGAAAACAAGTCTCATATTATTTCTTCTAAATAAACAGAAACTAAGGCCACCATACAGAACAGAGTCAATACCCGTAGAGCTCGTTTCTTGAGCTTGTTCATAACAGAAAACTGTTTAAGCCTTGCTTTCACAGTCTCGCCAAGGGAAACATTTGGGGCCTTCTTTGCATTTTGTATCCAAGAATGCTCTGCAAATAGAAAGTCACAGTACATTTGCTTCATTAGTAATAAAATTTTGGAAACATTGAGCTCAAATAGAGAACATACCGAGTACTTCTGCAGCAGAAAGCCGTTTTTTGGGGTCAGGTTCGAGCATCTTTTTCACAAGGTCTTTCGCAGTGTCAGAGACTCTTGGCCATGGATCCCTCTTGAAGTCAATGACTGACCTAATGATCGCCTGAGCCACCCCTTGCTCAGTCTCTATACAAAATAAATAAACAATATCAAGAGAAAGAAACTCAAAAAATGGAAGAAGAATCAGAAGATAAGCAAACAAATCTTTAAAAGAGGTCACTAGTGAATCCATGAACAAAGTAATTTGATAACCTCCGGATCCTAAATCATTTACTGATGAATCTAGTTGAAGAACAAACAAAAAAACTGAGATAACAAGATCGAACATAACAAACCTGCCCAAAATGGAGGGACACCACAGAGCAGAATATAAAGGATAACTCCAGCACTCCAGATATCAACTTCAGGTCCATAGTTTCGCCTAAGTACTTCTGGTGCCATGTAATAAGGACTTCCAACAATTTCGTTAAACCCCTCACCTGTTACAAATTCAAAAACAAAAATCAAGTAGAGGAAACATCACAAAAATATCTATTGCAATCTGAGATATATATAATAGGATATTAGATAATCTTATACCAGGTCTAAAGAAGACTGATAATCCAAAATCTATAGCTTTAAGTGGCGACGTCTCTTTTTTATTAGCAAAGAGAAAGTTCTCCGGCTTAAGATCCCTATGCATCACTCCATTCTTATGGCACACCTTCAATTCCAAAAAGGTGTTCATTCAAAATCACAAAGGTAGAAGCTATAATCTTCATAATAGCATATATAGCTAACGAACCTGAACAACTTCAAGAATAGTCTTCATAACAGCAGCAGCAGCACGTTCAGTATAATGACCTCTAGCAACAATCCGATCAAACAGCTCACCACCTTCACACAACTCCATCACTATATGCACTGCATCATCATCCTCAAAGGCATCCTTAAGCGACACTATATTAGGATGCTTAGGCATATGTTTCATTATCTCAACCTCTCTCCTAACATCCTCTATATCCACAGCTGTTCTAAGCTTCTTCTTCGATATAGACTTGCAAGCATACTTCTCTCCCGTATTGATATCAGTGCAGAGGTAGGTAATACCAAACTCTCCACGACCAACCTCACGCCCCAGATCATACATAAGAGATATGTCATGTCCTGTTGGATCTTTTAAGACAGAGAGCTTGAAGCCAGCTCCGGATCTGTTTGTTGTAGTGTAGGCTTCGCTGTAAAAAGGGTTGTTTTTGGTCTTTGGTTTCCCATCTTTGGACTTGGTATCAGAACCAGGGCTTGCACAACAGTTCCCCATTTTTTTTTTAATCAAATCTGAGATTTCATCAAGCAGGAACATGTCAAGCAAAATCAATAAAGCTTGAAACTTTATCAATAGGGTCTAAATAAAGTTTCCAAATTTAGAAAGGAGAGACTCTCTAACTAATACCCAAAGAGACTCAGATCTGATGAAGGGAAAGAAACAGACAAAACATAACGATTGAGAAGCTAAAATGCAAGCATCTACCAAATGAAATTAATTAAGAGATAGAAATCTGAAGAGAAGACAAGTAAAGCCCTAACAAAGAAAAGAAGGAAGCTTTGAATATAGAAAAGGGGAAAACACAGACCTGAGCTGAATCGGCGGATGCAACAGGGGGGGAATGAGAAGTGGCAAAGAGAGGAAGGAGAAGAAGAGTCAAAGTCTCCTTCTTTCTAGCTCTTCTCTCTCTCTCTCTCTAAGTGAGCAGCAAAAAGAGACTCTCTTTGTTTTCTCTATTGTGGAGGAATCAGCGGATAACCCATTGCAAAAGACAGTCTCACACGGTGAGCCTTGTGTTAAACTCTCTCTCTCTCTTTCCCTTTTATTGTTTCTCTCTGCCCTCTCTCTCTCACTAATACTTTTCTTAAAATAAATTTAATGATCAAAGACTTTTGAATGGTATTCGCATACGTACGTTAACTTATGAGTTATAGTGAAGTTAATGATCAAAGACATTTTAGAAATTTTCTAGAATAAACTTTAAAAAAAAATTATCACAAGATCTTAAAAATAAAAATAATCAGAATAAACTTAAATGTTTTATCAAAAATAAATAAATATACACTTATAGCTTTTGGATTAACTAATCAGCTTTTTTTGTTTAGAGTTGGAAGTGATGTTTTGGGGCAGAATTTCAAATTAAAAAAAAAATTGAAAAAAATACTATTTTGGTCATTTTAGTTTTAAAATTTATTTTTGTGATAAAAAAACTTCAAAAATATATTTGAAAGATTTGCTGAAGACATTATTTACAAAATAAATTTTAATTTACTTATGTTGACTTGACAATAATCGGCTTCATACTTTATATTTAACACGGTTATATGTATTAAAATCAATCATAAATTTTGTTTATACTATAATGTCAATGATAGTGTATAGTCTATCTTACACTAAAATAACATTATATAATACAATCATAAAATTGTATATACTATAATGTCAATGATAGTGTATAGTTTATCTTATACTCAAACAACATTATATAATGATGTAACAATAGTTAGAATCGGTCAATCATAAGTTCCACGTTTTTCAATTTTTTTTTTCTTAACGCTGGATCGGATTTTCATTCATATGGAGAAAGGACAAGGTTCCCCTTGATAAGGATAAACCAAACCACAACAAAGTACGGTTCAAACCGAAAACAAGGGTAGAAAAACAGAACAAGATAAATTGCATAAAAGGGAGACCACCAGTAGGGGCCATTGCAGGACGTCTCAACCGCACAAGAATGATCCGAGGAGTAACTAAAGCTATCACAGAGACTGAGAAGACTCTAAACATGAGAGCACCAGACCATCATACAGTGGCGGATCCAAACATAAATTTAAGAGGTGTCAAAAATTATAAGGGGTGTTATCGGTGGGATTTGAACTAGGGTTTAGGAGTGTCAAGAGGGGACTTTTCCCACCAGAGCTGTTGAATTTTCATTTTTTAAATGAATAAAATATTAATTATATGAATTTAAGAGGTGTCATTTGACACCCTATTGGCTCAAGTAGATCCGTCCTGATCATACACGAGGAGTTACTGCGATACTGAAATCAATATTGTGATGAAATCATCACTTGTTAAACAATTATCACATTTTGGAAAAAAAAATAAAAAATAAGAGGATAAATCGTTGAACAATAAAATAGAAAACAATATTTATTGTTGGAAGTGAGTTGCCTAATTTTATAAAAAAAATTACTTATCAGAAAACAAGACTTGGAATCAGTGCAAACCAAGCAGGATTTTCTCGGGTTTACACTCCATGTCTCTCTCATGGACAACAACAACACATGAAGTCCAAACTAGTGTAAAGCCACCACAACGATTCTCCAAGTTACATGTAGGGGTGGGCACGGATCGGATATCCGGGTTTTTTAAGGTATTTGTGATTTGCTTCGAATGTTACGGATATCTAATTTTGGTATTTGCTTTGCTTCGAAACAATACGGATATCCGGAAAAACGGATATCCGGAAAATAAATAGATATTTGCGGTATTTACGAATATTTACGAATATCTTATACATTTTGATTAATACAAATAATCTTAAGATTTTGATACAAATTTGCTTGGCAAAAATATTTTATTCATGATATATAAAATAATAAATAGAAGAGCTAGTGAATTTACATATTTTGTAATTTTTAAGTTTAAGTTACAATTATAATAACACAAAATTAAAGAAAAAAAGATATAATTGTCATAATTTTTTTCTCTTTTATGTAATATTTTTATATTAGTAATAATGTGAATAGAATTGTTCAAAATCATGTGCCAGAATAATAATTATATAATTTTACACATTTAAAATTTTAAATATAATCAAGATATACATATATTTATATATTTCCGGATCGGATCGGAGATCCGCTTCTCAAAATTTTAATATTTGTGATTTGCTTCGATTTTAACGGATATTGAATTTTAGTATTTGCTTTGATTCGAAAGTTTACGGATATCCAGAATTTTCGGATCGAATCGAAACAAATAACGAATCGAATCAAATAAAACGGATAAAATGCCCAGCCCTAGTTACATGAGTGGTAAATTCTATACTCAAAAGTCAAACCTCCTAAAGTAGACCCTTTACGAGTTACGGACCCAACGTTGGAACACTTTGTGTCTTCTCCACTGAAAATGGCTTATGGCTTTATTTTTTATTTTTTTATTAAATACTATATTTTGTGATAAACATTAAAACTGAAGTTTAAAAAAAAAACATTATTTTGTAGCTATTTTGTAGAGTTGCCAAAAATATTTGATAAAATAATATAATTTAATTACCAACAAGTTCGTTATATATTTTTGACAATTTCATATCTAACCTTATAGGTCCAACAAACAAATCATGCTAATTAATTCATTATCCTAGATTTTTTATTTGATATATTCATTTATTTCATATCATATATAAACCAATATTTTATTTTAGACATATAGTTTGGTTTTGGCCCCCCCAAAAAAAAAATATATATATATATATATATATATATATATATATATACATGCAGTTGAAAAATAAGTTAGGTTTAACGCAAGAGTCTAGCCGCCATGGAATCACAGCAGCAGAAGAAACATCAAACCATTCTTACACGATCTCCAAACTCAACCAATGCTGAAAAATACTCAGAACCTGTCCCAGATGATCTCATCATCGAGATACTCTTGAGATTACCTACTAAATCCATAGCGAGATGTCGTTGTGTATCGAAGATTTGGGCTTCCATACTCAGTAGTCATGATTTCACAGAGACCTTCTTGAAAAGATCTTTGGCTAGACCTCAGCTCTTGTTTGCCTGCCGAAAGGATAGTGACGAGTTGTTATTGTTTTCCTCACCTCAGCCTCGAAATACAGATGAGAACTCGTCTTCTACTATAACAGCCAACTATCATATGAATTTACCATGTAAATGTTTATGGAGAGTAGTACATATCAGTGGTTTGGTCTTGATTAGGGAAAATGTGTTTGTGTGGAATATATGTAACCCTAGTACCAGACAATACTTTACTTTACCTAATCCAGAAGTGAAGATAGAGAGATATAGTTGGATGAGAACTTTTTTTGGGTATGATCCGATTGAGAAGCAAGTCAAGGTATTGACAATAACAGGGGAACGTGGAGATGATGCCTTCTTTGAAGACATGCATCAAGTTCTGACGTTAGAAACTGATAAAATGTCATGGAGAAGGATTGAATGTGGTACACCTCATTCTGCTATATCTGGTGGTGTATGCATCAGTGGTGTTTTGTACTACAAAGCTTATGAGAAAAAGAAAACCTTTTCCAGTAGTAACATGATTGTGTGCTTTGATGTTAGATCTGAGAAGTACAAGTATTTTAGAGTCATGGAAAGTTCCATGGGAGCAGTGCATTCTCAAACAACTCTGATAAACTACAAAGGTAAATTGGCTTCACTGAGGATGAAAAGGTCTTATGTTTATGCTGAAGCAGATATAAGTTTTGACTTGTGGGTTCTACAAGACCTTGAAAAACAAGAATGGTCGAAGCATACTTACAAGTTTCCCTTGTCGAGGAATGAAATTATAGAGGACAAGGTTTACTGTACTCTAGTCACAGCTGGTACAAATGAAATTGTGTTATTTCGGGACAGTGTATGCGACCCTTTTTATGTTTTTTACTACAATCTCGAGAGGAAAACTAGCAAAAGAGTTGAAATCCATGGATTGCCAAAGGTTAAGGGTATGAAAGTTTACATTTCTCTAAACCATATAGAGGACGTGAAGCTTATGTAAATGTTTGGATCTTAAGTTGATTGTAATAGATCCCTGATCTTTCTATATATAGCTAGATATTTACCTATCTTGGGTTTGTCTTTGATGTTATTCATCTATTCCCCTTTTCAATGATTTATACACTATGGAACTAAAACAATCTTTATATTTCTCAAACTCTCTATCAACTCACAAGTTTTTTTAAAAAAATATTTCTGAAACTCTTGTTATAGAGTAATAAGAGCACCTCCAATGGTGTTATCCACCATTGAAGTCCTTAAGATTATAATATTTGTTTTTTTTTTTTTGAATAGTTAAGGACTTCAAACTCAAATCTTCTTCCAATGATGTTATCGATTATGGAATCCTTAAGTTTTTTTCTTTTTTTCTTGAATCTAAAACTAGTTAAATGTATAAAACATTTAAAATAAAGAACAGAAACAGATAAGCTATTATCCATTATAACTTCTAACATGAGAGTTCTACTTTCTGAGGCATGCAAAGTTTTACGCTAAATTTGAAGAGTTATCTACATAGAGTAATGGAACAACAGAGGTGGAGTATTATAAATTTTTAATTAACATTGGTTTATAGTATTATATTGTTAATTATGAAATTAATTATGTATTAATTTTATAAATATATTTAAAGAGTTAGTAGGATTTTAAATTCTTTGTTAACAGAATTTGTTAGGGCAAAACATCAAATTAAATTTAGAGTTGGTATACTATTAATCTAACTAATCAAATATGTCATATTAACTAAAGTTTTAGATGTTCCAAGTATGATTTGTTATCATTATATAAAAATAGAACTTTAAATTAATAGATTAGAAATTAATATATTATGAGATTTTTAAAATAAGTAAAAAGATGATATGTAGTTGTAGATATAAATGTTTAATCTATGTTAATAAATTTATTTTTGTATGAAAAATTCTATAGTTTACGAATTTTAACACATATTCAAGATAAATGATATTTATTTAATTGACACTATTTAAAAAGGTTACCTATTTAATATAATTTGTCATATTTAATTCTTATAGTACTTCTGTTTTAATATAATACAGAAGATAATTATAAAATTTATAAAAAAATAAGATATATTTTTGTTTTATAATAAATATTTAATTAACATTAATTTATAATAATATTATATTATAATTACGAAATTAATTAATGTGTGATTTTATAAAAGAAATATTTAAAAGATTAGTAGAATTTTGTTGGATTCTTTATCAACAGATTTTGTTATAATTAAAATATATAATTCAAATTTGTAGTTGATTTATTATTAATATACATAATTAAATATCTCATATTAACTAATTTTTATATGGTTACTTGTTAACACTAGATAAAATTAAGACTATGTTTTAATAGATTAGACGATTAAATCATCACTAGATAAACATTTGTCACATTTTGGATAATAGAAAAGAGAATATATAAAATCGTTGAACAACCAAATATAATTTTTTTTTATTTTTTTTTTCCAAATATAATTTTTTTTTATTCTTGGAATTGAGTTTGCCTAATTTTATAGAAAAGCATGATCCTCTCGTGTTTACTCTCCATGTCAAAATCACAGACACCAAACAAGTTGTCTAATCAAACTCCTAAAACAAGCTTCTTTTAGCTCATTTTGTGTTTCAAAATAAATAAAAAAAACTCCCTTTTACGAGTTACGGACACAAAGTAGAAGACTTTTGTTGTGTCTCCTCCATTGAAAATGGCTTATGGGTTTTGCTCGCTGCGTCCCACTCTCACTTCCTTGTTCTCGTCTCACGCGCTTGCCCCCACTCTACAGTGGCGTTCGAGCTCGCTCCGTATCTCCCGCGCTTTATCAGCTGCAACTGTTCCGATTAGCTCTTCTTCCTCCTTCACATGGGACGACTTCTTCGAGATTGGTCGGAAGGAGTCTGCGTCTCCTCAAAGTGCCTCCTCCGATCTCACCGGATTTCTCGAGAAAATCGACCGCTGCAATCGAGGATCCGTAAGTCCACTGAAGCTGAGTAAAAACGTTACCTTTCGTCTTTTATTTGAATAAAGTTTTAACTTTTTTTTTTGCCACACTTTTCAGGAGAAGTTAGCTGAGTTCATACCATTTGTCATAGAGGAACAAATCGTTGGGTATATTCATAAAGGGTAAAGCTCTATCCTCTATTGCTTTTGTGATTCTACAGTTTGACTTTCGCTCTCTTAAGTTGGTTTGCATATACAACATTGAAACAGATTTACAGAGTACTTGAGGGAGTTTCATGATGTCTTCACGTTTACACAAAATGGTTGCGTTGGTGACTATGTAACGGTTAATCTGATGTTTGAAAAGCCTGAAGATAGAACCGGAGCAGTTGCAGATGTGATCAAAATCTTAGGTGACAAAGGTATCATTCCAGGAATACGTAATGAGGTATATAGGTTCCATGTTTTCTTATTTGATCTTTTGAACTCTGGAACCATACTTGCTTTAGGTTCTAGCTGTCTTCATTTAGCTTATCTGTTAATTCTTTCTTTTCATCAGCTGTATCCTGTGAAACCATCGTTTCATTCTTCCGCCTTATTTTCACTAGAGCGTGCTGCAGCTCCTTATTTTGGATTAAAGGTATACCCAAACTTCACTAAGTTGTTTCAGCTTGTTAGCCATGAACACCAAATTTAAGATGCTTTTCCACCAGTACATGTGTGTCATGTTCTTTTGCCTTGCTTGTGTTACATTAGTGATGCTATGAACCTTTTGTTTTGCTATGATTTGAAACATGGCTCTCTTGTTATTCTATATAGGGTTACGGAGTTCACATGAATGGGTATGTAGAAAGAGATGGACAAAAGTTTCTATGGATTGGCAAGAGAAGTCTCACAAAATCCACTTATCCAGGAATGCTTGATCATCTAGTTGCTGGAGGATTGGTAAGCTTTCTCTTCATCTTTATACTTTTTGTTCATGGCTGTTAGGTAGTAAGTACTAGTGATTCTAAATTCTGTTTTTTGAGGGAAATCTAAACCATAGCCTCACGGGATTAGCTGCGGTGATAATCTAGTAAAGGAATGTGATGAGGAAGCTGGTATATCCAAAGTCATTGCTGATAGGTTAACACATTCTCCTCCTCAGTCTTATAACAATTATTATCATGTGTATAGTTTTGACCTGTTGCTTTGTTTATTAAAGGGCGATACCGGTTGGTGCTGTTTCATACATGGATATAGATCAGTACTGTTTCAAACGTGATGTGCTGTTTTGTTATGATTTGAAACTCCCTGAAGACTTTGTCCCCAAAAACCAAGGTTAGTGCAAATCACTAGTAAGCTCAGAGAGATGTTCCTTTCTCATAGCATTGCTATGTAAATTACATTGCAGATGGAGAAGTGGAGAGCTTCAAGTTGATTCCAGTAGCACAAGTTGCTAATGTGATTAGGGAGACTAGTTTTTTCAAGGCCAACTGTTCCCTTGTCATTATTGACTTCTTGTTTCGTCACGGGTACTAACTCCTATCTCCCACAAATTACTTATGAGCAGAGACCACCACAACTTTTAAAAGCTTAGACACTTGGATTTTCTGAAAATATTATGTTCCATTTTATCATGCAGGTTTATCAGACCAGAATCATCTGGTTACTTGGATCTATTCCGAAGCTTGAGGAATGGAGATTGCTCATAAGGATGCTACTATCTTTTTCCTTTCTGATTTTTGTAAGTAAAAAAACTCACTCTATAGATTACTATTACACACTCTGGCTGTCCATGTATATATGATTGTGCATCTTATTTCAGATTCTGTTGAGTCACATCAGGTGCCTTCATGACCATTCGCTGATCCAGGCAGTCCTATGAAGATTCATTTATACTACAAATGAGCAAAACCAACAGAAATGGTCATGGCTAAAGTTACTTGCAAAAAGAGTCTCAATGACTATACTCAATCTGATTATTTTTATGTTTCATCTCTGTATTGTCTGCATTACCTAACCGCCTTTTCCAGAACGATATAAAGTTAATAATAAAAATGGAGAAAAAGCCCCGCATGAAACGGTACATTGTTGCTTGAGATCCAAGTTTAGAAACAAGATAAATCTGCTCCTATAGGATTATGTATGTATCACAAACGTCTTTTAACTATAAATAGAAAAGTGGAGTTTTTTTCAAGAGAAATCTTCTTGATCATCATCATGAACGCCTTCACCAATGTTTAAAAACCTCTTTCTTGTAAACCAAGCAATATCTATTTATGGACAAGAGGAGGGAGGCATGTCTCTCTCTGATTAATCAATCTCAGTGTTCTTTCTTTTCAATCCAAATCATGTCATTCATTCTTGAGTTACCATATAATGTTTTCTTGAGATGTTGAGGTTCCATCGGTTGATGCGCGTTTGTAAAATGGGGAAAATTAACCGATGCAATCTCAACATCTCCGTTTTAGTTTGTGTTATTTAAATGTTTTGGTTCATAAAGTAAACTAATGTATATGAATATCTAACGAAGTTTTAAATGTGCAGAATTCTGGATGGAATCCAGTTCCACAGTTCGGAGAATGGGACCAAAAAGGATCAGATGAAACAAACTACTCGGTTGTGTTCTCAAAAGCTCGAGCAAACAGGAAGCTTAACAAAGCTGGTGTAAGACATTCTAGTTTGGGAAGCGAACAAGAACTCATGGCTAGTGCTCGTCGTCACCACCGCGAACAACATCTTTACCATCACCACGAAACCCAAGACGATGACCCTGTCATGGTAACATCTCCCTCTCTTTACTATACTCTTAGATATGGATTCTTTGTGTATAATCAATCACCTTGTGATGATCCTTTTTCCCCTTAGCCAACGCGCATGGATCATCACAAGGTGTGGTATAAACAATCATATTAAACTATATAATAGTCTAAACACACACATAATTGTGCTTGCATGCATGATGCTACAATTACAAAAATAACAAAAATTCTAACAAAATATGAGAGACTCGATTTCACTATTTTGCTTGAGGTTTCTGAAGTATCCACGCTTTCACTTGAATCATCCAACTATAATGGGACAGCTAATATTTTCTAGAAAATATGAGAACTCCATTTCTACTTTGGTTCTTCATTTTGTATAGCAATCGGAATCACCTTGGTAACTAGAAGGAGCATGTTTACAAAAAAAACAAAAAACTAGGAGCCTCCAACTATATTGGGACGACTACTATTAATTGCATAGAATGCTCTCATGCATTAATCTCACTTGACTCAGCATCTGTAGATCAAATCAAGATTTTATTATTTACACAAGAAATATATTATTGGGTAGCGTAGCTAGCATGTTGTCTTTGTCTTCATATTATAAAACCTATATATGTTGTAGAGTATTATAGTCATGTCACTTACATTGCTAATTTAATTGCCATGCAGAAGAAGAAGAGGATCCTGACCTACATTAATTGTTGTATCAGGCCAAACTAAGGTCTTGTTCCACAAAACTACAATCCTTCTCTCGCGAGTTTGTATCAAAATATGTCTCAGTATGTAAAGACTTTAGCATAAGGTTTTGTAATGTATGTGCATCGTCTGTTATGATACTCTTGCTTAGAGTTTACATTTTGAGCTATGCCTACACTACACGATATGAGAACAAAATCATATTTCTATAAACACTGTACTATGCGCTTGTTTATTTATATGTCAAATTCACAAGTCAAATTCACAAGTAGTTTTCACAAGTAGTTTTCACAGAAGAAATCTTTACGTCTTGAATATTGTGGAACGCAACCTAAAAAAAAAATATGGACATGCTCTTAACTTTTGAAGTCTGAAATGAACTATGGGCGCTTGAATTAAGATTAAAAGAAAAAAATACAGTAGAGTTAGCCAAATGTACATGTAAGCTATAAGCACATTTAAACATATGTAGTCATGTAGATTAATCAAGGTAGAATCTATTTAGTAATGTTTGGGACTATGTAACTCCAGTTGATGAAAGCTGGTATTGACTCTTGGAGGGCCTTAATTGGAAGATTTTTAGTTTGTGAACATGATCTCAAACTCCTATATAACAATAGATACCAGCAGCCCAACACAACACTAAACAAAAATTTGACGAAAAAATACATACATTTTCACTAAAAAAAATCACAGCTATTTGGCCACTATCTACTAATCATGGCTTAGGCCTCGATTGGTACAGCAGAAGATAAAGCAGTAGCAGTATGTTGTAGAAGCAGTATGCTACAGAAGGTGTATGCTTTCATTAAATTTTTTAATAAAGTGATTGGGAGAGCATTAGCAGTATACGATTTTAAAATTATCATAATAGTTAGTAAAATAATATATATATATATATAATAAATTAATAATATATAAATTTATTTAAAAATTTAAAGTTTTTTTAAAAATATTAAATTATTTTTGGATATAACATATTACTCATATATAAAATTATATTTATAATTTAATTAATTATTCTTAAATTTTAATAATTATTAAAAATAAATAAATTAATTATATTTTATATATAAATTAATTATAATTTATATATAAATTAATTATAATTTATATATAAATTAATTATAATTTATATATAAATTATTATTATTATTTATTTATTGGTAGAGCACTAAATTACTCATATATAAAATTATCATAAAAGTTAATATATAATTTATTTATTAGTGTCGAAATAATATGTTTATATCGATAATATATAATTTATATTATGTTATGTTTGTTATTAAAAATAATGAATGATATATGTAATTATATAAATTATATTATATTTTAAATGTGAAATATTGTTATTTAAAAAAAATAATTATAATTATAATTTTTATTTTTTTTTAAATATAAATTTATATTTAATTATAAAAATATTGTTTATATTTTTAAGCAAAAATAAATTAATTATATATAAATATTGTTAAGTTTTATATTTTCTATATGCAAATGCTCTCCCAAAAGCTCTATATGAGAGCATTGAGCAAAGAGCATTTGGAGAGCATTTGCATTTGGTAAATGCTTTTCTAAATGCTTCTTTGCCAAATGTTGATTGGATAATAGAGAGCATAGTGCTTATGCTAATGCTCTACCAATCAACCCCTTAGTAGATATGTAAAATTGAACATGGCAGAGTAAGAGTATAGCTAGAAACTGGTCGATAACCGTGAATTTCCCGGTTCGGTTTCTTCCGAATGTGACTAGTAACATTGTGATGTGAATCTAAAACATAAAAAGGAATATTCAACGCATCATCGCGACGCACGTGAGGCCCACGCGAAACCCTTTAAAAATAGCAAAAAAGACAAAATCAACAGAAGCATCTTTGGGCAAAAGAGAAAGAAAGAAAGAAGAAGAAATCGCGATTCTACAATCTCCATTGGCGACGAAACAGCGGTCCGTAACAAACCCTAGAGAACACTTCCTTCTCCAATCAAATTCACGCGGGAAAATCGAAATCCAATAGCTTATCCCCTAGCCGGTTTTCTAGTTTAGCTGATTACGGTTTTCTATAGAGGGGAGAGAGGTTGCGATTCGTGAGATCTAACTGCCTTGTGAAACGTGTAAGGCAGTGTCTGATCTTTTCTTTTCTTTGCTCTATTGATCTTTGATTTCATGTTAAGCTTCAGCTTCTTTTGTTCTCAGATTCCAATTCTCAGTCCTCGTGAGCTCCTCTTTAGGGATTACTTAGGTTTAATCCGATTCTTCTTGTTGAGTTTTCCTGAAAATCATAGCTGGATGTAATCAACATAGCTTCATTGCTGTAAATAATTGATTTTTTTTTTCTTATAATGTTTTTAGCTGTTTTCATCCCATTACTTTTGAACTTGGAATGTGAGGATTTCAGGTCTCTAGGGAGGAGGAAAGTAGGGATCTTTAAGTATATAATGCTTGCTTATTGCTATGTTTCACTTGCTTATATGCAAACATTATTATTAGCCCAACAATCAACATATGTTGAGACCTTACTACTACTCTATGCAATTTCCTGTGTTCATTTTGAATCTGAAGATGTTTTTTCACTTTACAAGGAATGGTTTCTTGACCATGTACCTTTTTTTTTTCTTTTTTTGCTACAAACTGCAGTTGATCATGGTATAGCCGTTAGTTTTGCTACAAATATATGGATCCAGAGAGCGCCAAGTTTGGAGGTGATTTTTGTTATTCTCAAGTTTTTTTTTTCTTTTCATTGTTTTATTGCGATTTACCAGTCTGTTATCAATGTCTCATTTTCAGCATATTCTCCCCAATGTGATTAGTCCCCTCGTTTAGTTTGTTTTATTGATCATTGAGAGATGCTGTGTTTTATGTGCAGGTCCAAGAGAACTGGGTGGTGCACGAGATCTTATAACTCAATACAAGCTGTTGCCGCACCATGAGTTCTTTTGCAAGAGATCACTTCCTGAGTCACTTTCAGATGCTCATTACCTTCACAATGTGGTGGGCGACACAGATATTAGAAAGGGAGAAGGAATGCAACTGGATCAGCTTATTCCAAATGCGTCACATAACCGAGACGGAAATGCTCGCATCCAACCTTTTGTTCTAGATGAACTTAAGGAGGCTTTTGAGCTTAATGATACCTCTCCTGTTGAATTGCCTCCGGTGAGAATCTGCTCCCTCTCTATCTGTCTTTGAGTTTAAATTTGCTATCTTTCGCACCTGATTTTAAATACCTGATTCTGCTGATACTGAAACTGATATCTTCCGAGTATAGTGAGCTAGGTATGGGAATATGATATGTCCTGTTTCTTGTTACAGGCAGAGAAGGGTGCTCTTACCATTGCGTCAAAATCAAAAAGCGAGTCAAAAGACAAGGACAGGAAGCATAAAAAACACAAGGACAGGAACAAGGAGAAAGATAGGGAACATAAGAAGCACAAACACAGACATAGAGATAAGAGCAAAGATAAGGATAAAGACAAGGATCGCGAGAGAAAGAAGGAAAAAAGTGGACACCATGACAAGGTAAGAGAACCGTCTGCTGTTGTTGGTGCTATCTTGGTATTTGATTCTCACTGTATAGAATTTGACTATTAACTTCCAGAAAAGGAAACACAATGGGAATGAAGATCTTGATGACGCTCAGAGGCACAAAAAGAGCAAGGTAATGCATGTACGCATCTCCGTCTTGTTAGTAAAGCTGAACTTGGACGTTTCTGTATTGTTTTGTTGCACATGGTGTTAGGGTAGCAAATTATATTAAGTCGTCCCTATAATCAACTCTTCTTTCTGTAGCATAAGAGTTCAAAGGTTGATGAGATGGGCACACGATAAAGGTTGGAGGCTTTTGATGAGATGGGCACACGATAAAGGTTGGAGGCTGAAGTGGTGGAGACTCTCAGCTTTTGTATTACACATCCAAGTAGGTGAAGGTTTAGAGGCAGCTACCCTACTCACTGTTGAATACTTTGTTAGGCAAGTGTCCATGTGTATTTTCGGTCCCTGATGTACTGGATACTGCTGATATATGACATTAGAACCCAAATTTTTTAATTTGTCAGACAATGATCATGTATTTCTCAGCTGCTCCGTTAGAACTCGATTATAATAAACTAGCAAGACTTCATCGGGTTTGAGTTTGTGTGAAGCTTTAATATCAAATGGAATAGCAGCAAAAGATCAAATCCAATCAGCAAAACATAGCAATGAAAATTTCTCAAACTACTAAAATCTCAACAAAACCTTAGTACTTCTCACTCTTCTCCCACCGCTCTGTTCACCGAAAGAATGGCTAAGAAAATATTTTTCATTTTCTGGCGAAAGTCTCTCCCTTGTGTTCACCCCCGGCAAAAATTATATACCCTGCTTCCACCTACCTGAAAACAAGAACCATCTTTTTGTTGCGGAATCCATAAAAGCATTATGTACTTGTGTTTTACATGAGGTGAAGGGAGCAACGTACCTGGCAGTCTCTAAGAGAAACACGCTCTTGAAGCTGTGCATTGCTGCAAATGACTGAGCCTAGAATTGAACAACCGTCTCCTATTGTGGCATGGTCCATCACAACTGAATTAACCACCTGCACTCACATTACATACAAGCACTTGAGTGTAACTTCGTTGGAGATGTACACCAACTTTATTTGGCTGGGGTAAATAAAAGCTCTTTCGTTACCTTCACGTTGGAGCCTATGCGGCAATGTCTCCCAATTACAGATCTTTTGACACTGCATTTGTCACCGACTTGAGAGCCTTCTCCAAGCATACAATGCGGTCCAACCTGCAACCCACAAAATGTTAATGTATGATCAAAACTCACAAAACAAATGCACACATGTACAGGATTTACTGTTGTTTTTGATCCAAGCTCAGCTGATGGGTGGACAATGTTGTGATGAGCTGAAAAGGAATATCCGGATAGGTGGTTTGCGTCACCACTAACGTGACTAACCTGCACATGTTTTAATAATTGCAGAGCTCTAGATATCAACTGAGAACAAAATACTATAGAAGGAATTCATGAGTGGTCACATTTAAGAGAAATCAACTTACATCTCTATTTACGTCCATGAAGGCTTGAATGCTATTCAAGCGGACGCAATACTTACTTTCATCCGCTATATAAACACAGCATTTGTGGGTTTTGGGCTATTCAGGCCTGATTCAAAAACTTGATGAAAGCTTGGCAAAGATGAGTTGGAGAGAATTTGGGACAAGACTGCCTCGTTGTTCTGCATATTACTCTTTCCATGCCCATTTCCATTTTCATCTACAGCTTTTTCATCAGAGAAGACATCTGATCTCTGATGCTCAAGGAGAAGAAAACACAGACAAAATGGGAGTATAATCAAAAGAATGATTGGTATAATCGTTTTTATTTCATCTGCAAGGACCTTATCCAACTAACCAGCTGCATACGAACAAGATATGGGAGTACATCCCGTTTCAGGCATCGAAAAGTAGGTTTTTGATCCAAAACTTTCTGCAGGACTGATCTGTAAGACAAAAGAGCATATTGAGTTCCTAATAAAACTAAACTGTTAGCAGGAACGAAGATCTGACCAACCTCTTGAAGGCATATATATGAGAATCCATGAGATCTGATCGAATTACCATCTAGATTAAAAATGACGAAATAATAAGAAACAGTACTAATTTCTTATTAATACATATTTCATCATACAATCAGAAGATAAACTGCATTGTAGGTCATTAAGAGCATTACCTTTCCAGCCGCACAGAGAATGCTCTTTTTCAGTCGGATATCTTTCTCAATCGCAGCCCATATCACATTCCAAAAGGTAAACCAACAACAAGTTCAAGTATTTTCATGCCTCAAATGAACAAAAAGGGAGTATTCAGAGTAGGACCTGTGGCTATGTATAACAAGAATTGTCTCGAGGAATCAATCCCTATGATATCATAACAATCAGGTTTTTTGGTTTTATCTTTCCCACCAGCTCCCCCGGATTCTGATGGCCCACTAACTGGTTCAGCACAAAGCATTGCAGTTACTGCTGCATCATGCCTTCCATGATTTGCGGCAACAGCACCAGGAGAAATATCAGAAACAATGTCTCCACTTACAATCTGCGGCCAGTAACACTACCAGCTAGCTACAAGTTCTAAACTTACACAAAACAAAAAAAAAGCTACGAGGAGGCATAAGGTAAGAGAGTAGCTAACCAAAATGTCTTTGGCAGTTAAGTGGTGTGCAATAGCCCTGAGAGCTCCAGCAGTTCCAACATTCTCAGGTACAGCAGCAACCTAAAGTAAGATATCCACCAGAGCATTGAATAATAATCCATAACCTCAAGACAATTAAAAAATGCGAAAAGCCTTCCACAGTGAGAAGAGCTGTTTAAACCAATGGTGACACTATGTATCTAATCAAACTTAAAATTCAGTAACTTGCATTGCATCTACCTAAAAGTTGGAAATTAAAGACCAACAACTAAACTTCTCAGTTCTCAGAGCATAAAAGCTTTAAAATGCGGTAGTGAGGCACTAGTGTTGAATTGCATTTGAGCTATAAGAAGCAATAGGTTCCAATTTCTAATGAAATATAACAATTCACAGAAGAGAATACCTCAACATGCAAACGATCAACACAGGCAGAAGATATCTGTAGATTTTGATATCGAAAGTGCTTGATCTTATTGAATGGCGAAGCCAAAGTATTTATACAACAAGAGAGATAGCTCTTTTGGCCTTATCTCGTTTCCCAACTTCCTTAACAATAGGAGTATCAAATATCTCTAAGACTTATCACAAAACTCCTAACATTATCTGGAAAATAGAATATCCACGCCAATACTCCCCCTCAAGTTGGAGAGTGTAGATTTACAATACCCAACTTGGATACTAGACTCTGAAATGGAACACGACCAAGCGCCTTGGTTAAAAGATCTGCAATCTGAGAATCAGTTCGAATGTGTTGAGTAACTATTGTGCCATCTTTAACTGCATCACGTACTGAATGGCAATCGGACTCAATGTGTTTTGTACGTTCATGGAAGACGGGATTTGCTGCTATGTGTATGGCAGCTTTACTGTCGCAGAAGAAACGTGTAGGAAGCTTTTGTTCAGCACCAAGATCTTTCAGCAAGCGTCGAACCCATTTGATTTCACGGAGTGCAGCAGCCATTGACCGGTATTCAGCTTCAGCTGAGGAATGAGATACTGTCTTCTGCTTATTTGTTTTCCATGAAATAGGAGAACCACCAAACATAACCACGAACGCGCTTAATGATCGTCGAGACAAGGGACATGCTCCCCAATCTGCATCACAATAAATTGTAAGTGTAAGATCATGATCAGACTTGAGAAGAATCCCCTGGCCAGGTGTTCCTTTTAAGAAGCGAACAACACGGAGCGCAGCTTCCCAGTGAGCAACGCGAGGAGCCTTCATGAACTGAGCAAGAATATGTATTGAATAGCAAAGATCGGGGCGAGTGTTGAGAAGATAAATAAGTCGCCCCATGAGTCTTCGTACTTCTTAGGATCATCGAGTAAAGGTGTCTCCGATTCAGCCAACTTATGATTTTGCTCCAATGGTGTCAATGCAGGCTTAGAGCCAAGATTCCCTGTGTCAGCTATAATGTCAAGGCTGTACTTCCGTTGCGAAAGAAAGAAGCCCTCAGATCCTCGACTGACTTCAATCCCAAGGAAATACTTCAGCTTTCCAAGATCTTTCATAGCAAAACACTTGCTTAGATATTCCTTGAAACGCCGGATCATGTGAGAATTGCTTCCACAAATTAATAAATCATCCACGTAAACAAGAACTCGCAACTCAATACCTCTGCGTGAAAGCGAAAACAGAGAGTGATCTTCTCGAGACTGCACGAAACCGAACCTGAGCAATGCATCAGAAAGTTTCTTGAACCAGCATCTCGGAGCTTGTTTCAAGCCATAAAGTGACTTGCGAAGTCTACACACTTTGTTGGGGTGAGTATGTCGAAATCCAGGGGGCAACTTCATATAGACTTCCTCTTCTAAATCACCATGAAGAAAGGCGTTATGAACGTCCATTTGATACACTTCCCAGTTACGTGCTGCAGCTAACCGTAGTAGAGATCGAACTGTGGTCATCTTGATAACAGGAGCAAAAGTTTCATTATAGTCTTCTCCTTCGACCTGACTCTTTCCGTTAACGACTAGGCGAGATTTATAGCGCTCAACCGTTCCATCAGCGTTATATTTGATTCTGAAAACCCAAAGACAACCGATTGCTTCTTTTCCAGGTGGTAAATCTGTGATGTCCCATGTGTGATTATCTTCCAGAGCAACAATTTCTTTCCCAACTGATTCTTGCCATACTTTCAACTGCATCGCTTCTTTGAAATTCTTGGGTTCTGTATTGCTAGTAATGTGTGCTAAAAAAGCACGATGACAAGGAGAAAACTGCTCATCAGTGATGTAATCAGACAAGGGATACAGTGATTTACCTGAACCGTTCGAGGATGGAGGTGGCAAGGGCGTGAGATGTGTATTACTATCAGCAGTTGTGGTGACATTATAGAGGTAGTAGTCTTGTAAAGCAGCAGGCTTATTCTTTTCTCGCAAACCTCGGCCAAGCGGTTCTGTAACTACTTGTTGCGTTGGTGAAGCATCAGATGTCTGTGTTGGTTGCTGTTCAATAACTGTTTCAGTTGGAGAAGGCGGAATCGGTGTTGGAGCAGCCGGTTCTGTTTCAGTCACAGAAACGTTTTCTTGAGCAGGAAGTTGCTCAGTTTCTGTCACACTTGGTTGCAGTTCTGCTTCAGAGGTGACCGGAGAAGCTATCTTGTTACTCCCCCTGTCGTCAGACGGCAATTGCAACCAATCATCATCACATGGTACTGAATTTGGCTTGAGAGATGGAGTCAACTTAGGCTCTGCGAAGGGAAAAACATCTTCCCTAAAAATTACATCCCGAGATATCACAAACTCATTGCGTTCGATATCATAAACCTTCCAACTCTTCTTTCCAAAAGGATATCCCAAGAACACACATAATCTACTTCGCTGGCCAAACTTGTCTTTATCTCGAGAAGCTCTGTGAGTGTAACAAGCTGATCCAAAAACCCTCAATGTTTTATACTCTGGTTTAGCACCATGAAGAACTTCGTAAGGAGTACGCCCATGATGAATAGCTGTTGGTGTTCGGTTTATTAAATGAGCTGCAGTCAACACCGCTTCTCCCCAAAATTTAACAGGAAGACTTGCTTGGAACATTAGAGCTCGAGAGACATTCAAAATGTGTCTATGTTTTCTCTCGACCCTGCCATTTTGTTGAGGTGTCCCAACGCAAGACGTTTGATGTACTATCCCGAGCTCCTTGAAGAATGAAGTGAGTACGATAAATTCAGTTCCGTTGTCACTACGTACCATACGAACTGGCTTCTGAAATTGCTTATCTGCATACGCAATGAACCTCTTAAGAATAGTTTGAACCTCTGATTTTTCTAAAAGAAGATATGTCCAGACTGCTCGTGAGAAGTCATCCACAATGGTTAGGAAATACACAGCTCCACAAGACGAAGGAATTCTGTATGGACCCCAAACGTCTACATGTATAAGTGAAAAAGATTCTGTTGTTTTATTGATACTATCATAAAAATCTCACGAGTTTGCTTGGCTCTAAAACAAGTGTCACAAGGACTGGAGCCAGCTGATTTAGATGAAACAAAAGACAAATCAGAAAGCACATGAAAAGATGGATGTCCCAAATGCCGATGCCACAAAGCTTGATCTGAACTGAGAGAAGCTCGATGACCCTTTGCTGAGACGATATCCATGAAGTAATACACACCATCACGCTCCTCACCGGCTCCAATCAAAGTCCTCGAGAAACGGTCCTGTATCACACAAATTGTGTCAGTAAACATTGCTAAGCAGTTTGTCTGTTTTAAGAGTTTTGCAACCGAGATTAGGGTGCAATTCAAGTCTGGTACATATAAGACTTTATGCAGTGTAAGCTTTGCAGATAAGTATAATGAACCCATTTGTACTGCAATCGTTCTGTTTCCATCGGCAAAGGCAACAGAACAAGGTGATATGATCTCGATATTGGTCAACAAGGATCTTTCCCCTGTCATGTGATGAGATGCACCGGTATCGAGAATCACATCACCGTAGAGTTTCTTACCAGAGAGCTTATCGGATGTCGGAGAATTGGCCTTATCCTGAAGCAGCTGACTGAGTGCCCTCAACTGATCTGGTGTGAACTCTGTGAGGCTTGAAGAGTTAGAACTTGTTGCATGAGCATTACTTGCTTGGCCACGGCCACGACCTCCATTGCCGCGACCTCCTCTTCCTCTAGAACCACTACTTTGTCCACGATCGCCATTACGTTCCGTGAACCATTCAGGAAATCCAACAATCTGCCAACAATCTCGTTTATCATGCCCTGTTTTGCCACAGTGAGAGCACAACATACGAGATCTCAGAATAGTATTCTCCACTTTGTTTTGATTATCAGTCTTCTGTGTTGTTGTTGAAGCGTTTTGTCTGGCCATGAACCCGACAGCTTCCTCCTTTTGTTCACGAGATCGTGATGATGCAAGTCTCTGTTCTTCTCGTATCATCTTGTTGTAGATTTCTCCAAGTGATGGCAATGGATCGAGACCAATCACGTTCGTACACATGCTACCAAAACGCGAATCATCCAATCCCATCACAAATTGATGAATCCTTTCATTCTCTCTTTCTTTGGCTATCGCCGCAGCTGCTCCACAGGAGCAAACATGAACAGGTTGATACACCTGTAACTCTTCCCAAAGTGCAGACAGTTTTCCGAAGTACTCCAACACGGACTGTCCTTCCTGTCGACACGATGCAAGTTGTGCTTTAAGTTGATGAACACGAACTGTATTCCCTACGGAGAATCTCTGCTTGAGATCATCCCACAGCTGATGTGCGTCCGTAATATATGTGACTGTCGATCGCACCTTTGGTTCAATGGAAGCTCGGATCCATCCAACAATCATCGAGTTTACGGTCAACCAATTTTCTAGGTCGGCGCTCTCTGCATCAGGTTTCTTCAAGGTGCCCTTGATAAATCCCAATTTTCTCTTGGCCTGGAGTGCATTCAACATCTCCGATGACCACTCATTATAATTCTCTCCGTTTAACAAAACAGAGGTAATTACAGCTCCAGGATTATCGGAGCCGTACAATGCATAAGGTGAGGGAATTACTGCCTCATCTTTCTTCACAACTAGTGAATCTCCCATGTCGTGTTTCTTTTAATTCTAGGAAAACACGAATTATTTTATGAGTCAGAGTTTAAAAGTATCTCTGCTCTGATATCATGTAGATTTTGATATCGAAAGTGCTTGATCTTATTGAATGGCGAAGCCAAAGTATTTATACAACAAGAGAGATAGCTCTTTTGGCCTTATCTCGTTTCCCAACTTCCTTAACAATAGGAGTATCAAATATCTCTAAGACTTATCACAAAACTCCTAACATTATCTGGAAAATAGAATATCCACGCCAATAATATCCATGCACCAACATTAAGAGCGGCGTCTTCTCCTTCAACAACCTATTTCCAGAAACGCGAAGCCAAAATCTAAGTTCTCACAAAAAAAAACGATTTAAAACGTTCAATCTAGCATAAGAAACCAGGAATTGTGTGAAAGCGTACGACGATGAGATCCTTGAGATTACTATTCTCGAGAAGATCGAGAACATAAGATAACACCGGACGGTTTGCTACGGGGAGCAGCGCCTTAGGGACTTCCTATAATATGAGATTATTATGTTTTACAGAGAAAGAGTGTTTTGGAGATGAATGAGAGAGAGAGATGGACCTTGGAGACTAATGGAACGAGATTACTGGAGAATCCGCCGGCGAGAATCACAACCTGGAAATCCATTTTTTTCAGCAACTGATGAATTTGACGGTGCCGTGGAGAAGAGGGAGGTTTTGTTGATTTTGAGAACGGTTAACTGTAGTAGACGGCGGTTCTAACCCGCTGATTCTATTAGAGTTTTCCCTAGTAATTCGACTTCGTCGCTCGTTTATTTTTTCGCTCCTTCGTTTACTTTTGGTCAATTCAAATACAATTATTTTGTTACTGCAAATTACAATATATCACACAACTAAAATGAAAAGAAATTACTTAAATAGTTTTTTTCAGTCGCAAATAAACTGAAGAAGCAAGAAAATTATTGGTTGAAAAATAAGTAAAGAGAAAGATGGGGTCACAATTCACACTTACAAATGAATAAGAGAGATTCAATAACAAGAATTTAAATCCAATATTCTATAACAAACGTCCTGCATTTTTTTGTTGGGTTTTCAAGTTTTCATGGTGATTAACAATGCTTTATCGGATCTTTATTCATGGTTTTTTGCAAAGTAATGGATAGGTCATAAAGGAAGTAATAGATGAGGTTTCGCAGTATACTTTAGTTTTTTTCCAAAGGAATACTAAGCATTGATAAGTTTATGTCTCTTGCAAACATGAAAGGGGGTCTTGGAAGTTGAAACTAGAAAATAAACGTGTCAAGCAAACAACACCAAAACAAAACTTCGAAGGAAATCATATATTTTTTGGTAGGTAGAGATTTAAAGTCTCTAGATCTTGTTGAATGCGACAATGTCAACACTCTGGATGTACTCGTTGTTAGGTTCAGAGGTGAGGTAGTCTTCAATGAGATTGTCTGGGGACACGAGGTCATCAACGATTGTGAGCATGATGGTGAGCTTCTTGATTCCGTAACCAACTGGAACCAGTTTTGCTGCAACAGTTTAAACAGAGGTCGATTAGAAAACTGGCTATCACAAATTGTTACGCTATTTGTATTCACTGCAAGTATAGAGAGAAATGGAGATTGTGGACTTACAAGCTCCCCATAGAAGACCAGGCATCTCAACAGCACGAACACACTCCTCAAGTTTCTTCATGTCAGTCTCGTCATCCCATGGCTTAACTTCCATGAGCACAGATGACTTTCCACCTAACCAAAATATTCGAAATTCAAAAGGAGAATAAGATAATCACATGTGTTCTAGATCAAAAACCAAAAGAGAGTGCTTACTCTCTTTGGGCTTCTTGGTGTCCTTCTTAGCAGCCTCCCTCTCCTCTGCAGCTTTCTTTTCCTCCTCGGTCTCATCACCAAAAAGATCCATGTCATCATCATCATCAGCTGCAGGTGCCTGTTCACAATTCATGGAAACTAGCTAAGCATACACAGAGCATTTCCTCTACCAAACACAAGTCAGTTGATCCCGAGTACTAGATAAGAATCAAAACATTCTTCAAAACTATAATAATCACCATATCAAAGCATTTTCCGAAATCATAATGATCACCATATCAAACTTTTCTTCAAAAGTATAATGATCACCATACCAAAGCATTAAGTATCATAAAACTTAGATAATGTCATTGCTTAACACACACAAAACGTTTCCTCTACCAAACACAACTCAGTTCATCCCTAGCATAACCCTAGAACTATCACCTTATCAAAGCATTCTTCAAAACTGTTTTGATACCATATAAAGCATTAAGATTAAACTTAGGTCATGTCATTGTTTACTAATACAACACATCAGGCATTGAAGTGAAGGGGGTACCTCAGCTTGCGCAGAAGCAGCAACAGCAGAGCCACCGATTGAAACTCCAACGGCCTTACCAGGGAAACTGCAACAATTACAAAACTCCTAAGTTCTTGGAAGATTAACAATAAACCAAATCTTAATATTTTGATCCAAAATTTACATAAAGGACGAACCTTTTAGCAAGGTGGGAAGCGACGCAAGCGTACCACTTGCTAGCATTAGGGAAAGCATCGCTTGGTTTCGCAACAACGGCAGCGTATACCTTCACATCATCCACAGACAACTGATCTCTGCATAAAATTCAAAAGTTGTTTTAAACTTCAATCGGCGATCGAAACAATGGAAAGGTTAAGAATCGTATCGAAAGTGAGAAACTTACCCGGAGACGTAGGTTTTTCCGGCGAGGTGGTCCTCAAGGGATTTGATACCCTGCTCTGTGTGTAGATCTGAGAAGGTAACCGCCATTGTAGCTGCTTTGACGATGTTAGGAGGGAAAGAGAGAGAGGGAGTGATAAGAGATCAGAGAAGGAGAGACGGAGGTTGAATAAGCGAAGCTGCTTTTTAAAACCTATTAGAGTATAGCTTGAGCCACTGAGAAACCCTAACCCCGGTTCGGAAATAATGTTGTGTGGGCTAAGCTCGATTTTGTTATTTGGGCTTTATTAATGGGTCTTTAGATTGCTCCATGTATAAAATGGATAATTCGATAAATTTACCCCAAACAACATTTTGAAAAAGAAGTTTACTGGCACCATTAACCCAGCTGCTTAATGGGAAAATTGACAAAATAACTCTTAACTTTCGAAAATAAGCCAAAAAAAATCTCCAACTCACAAACACATCATTTTAACCTTTAACTTCGAATCAAACACAAATAAATCTTACTTTCGTTGACCAAACCATTTTAATCTCGTCAAAATTCAACCATTTTAACGAAAATATGAGATTTTTTTATCTTAATTTAAAAATTGAAGATTAAAATTGTTCACTTAAAAATATCTTAACTAAAAATTGCTTTTTTTTTTATTTTTTTCAAGAAAAATTGTAAATTTTTCATACCGATTAGAATGACTAACTTAATAAAATATGTTCAAATAAGCTTAGATATAATATTTTAAAATGAATTAAAAAAAAAATTTTGTAACAAACTTGATTAAAAATACAACTATACTGTAAATTCAGATATAAAATAAAATAATTAAGTGCTTATGTTCAAAACAATTTTAAGAATAAAAACATAAAAGTTAAATGTAAATCTCTAAAAAGTATAATCACATATACGCAATAGAGGATGAAACAAGTGAAAAGGAGGAAGTCAAGTGCGTGAAAGGGATTTTCGGCAGCTGATGTATAGAATTATTATTTTTTTAATTCATTTTAAATATTATATATAAACTTATTTGAACATATTTTATTAAGTTAGCGATTACAATCGATATGAAAAAATTACATTTTCTGTCAGAAAAAAAAAATTTCTAGTTAAGATATTTTTAAGTAAGCAATTTTTAATCTACAATTTTTAAATTAGGATTAATAAAGTCTCATACTTTCATTGACCAAGCCATTTTAGACTCATTAAAACTCAACCGTTAAATATAACTAACGGAACTAAACAGTTGAATTGTGACGAAATTAAAATGGTTTGGTCAACGAAAGTATGAGATTTATTCGTGTTTGACTAGAAGTTGAAGGTTAAAATGGCTTGTTTGTGAGTTGGAGATTTTTTGGCTTATTTTCGAAAGTTGAGAGTTATTTTGTCAATTTTTCCGATGTGTTGTTTACTGATTTTTCGTTGGCTTGGTCAACGAAAGTATGACAACTTGAAGTTTCTTAAGGCTCAGAAGAACAAGCTGGATGGATCACAATCCTTGACTTGCAAGGTTCGAGATTCGCTCCTGCTTATATATAAGAGAAAGAGGTCACAATGTGTATTTGTTTTTTTTGGCAGTTCATATGAGCAAGCTTCATCAGACAAGCATTTCTAGTAGTGAAAACAGTGATAGCAGTCTTCAGGGTGAAGAAGATATCAATGAACAGATCCTTAGGCATGTAAACTCAGCTGCAGGAGTTTTAGGTTATTTTCAGTCTCATCATTATTCATAGGCTTCTCAGTTGGATATGACAAATGGTGTAGTTGGAGTTGTTGCCAAACTGGGGAGAGTCAATGACGATAACCTGAGCCAGTTAGTTCTATTTTGCTCTCACTCTCATTCCTTTTTTGTTCCCTTATTCACATTGTGATGGTTCTTTTTACATTGCAGGGTATTGTCGGATTACTTTAGGGACTAGGTCGATGTTGGCACTTTTTTACAAGGATTACCAAAGTGTTAAGCCTTTAGAGAAATATGACAACCAAGGCAACGTTGATAGAAATGGTGCCATTCATGGGCTTGCCTCTTCCATTGGCAGAACCATTGAAGGCCATTTCGATGTCATTTGCCTTAATACAGCTTTGGAACATTGATGACTGCTACATTGCTGCGGGAAGGGATACCTACATATATCATTGGAACATTGATGACTGCTTTTATAAAAAAAAAACATTGATGACTGCTACATTGCAGTGGGAAGGCCATTTGGATGTCATTTACTAATCTTTTGTTTTTATGTTTTTATTCCAAATTCTATGTTTTAAATATAATCTTTTAATATGTCTTATATAATAAATAAAATTAACTTTAATAAAACAAAGTTAATTTTTTTTAAGAACGCAAAATAAATAACTTGTATTGAAGGTAAAAATTGTTCGGGTGTTTAGCATTGGTTCTTAAACCACTGTTATAACTAAAAATTATTAAACAAAGAATAAGCACCCCTAATTAAATTGTTAGGTTAATGTTGGCGAACTCTTTTAGTGTACCAAACACACACAAAACTTAGAAAAATAATATTTTCAAAGTACTAAAAAAATTTGGTGACAATTACTTGAAAAGTTTAATACCCTGCCAACACGTTTAAATCATGTCACCAAGATAAAAGTGGTAGGTTTATATTCAAAAATAAATGCTGACTTGTGGATCTCTCACGGGGATACCAAATACGATGTTCTCAATGGTATCGCACATGAAAATAAGGGTATAAAACCAAAGACGCCATATATATTTTACAGGAGCATCGTACGTTGAAAATATTCTTGCTGTCTCCCTTTTTTGTACGTTTCTTTTTAACTTTCAAGTGTTGTTATTACTCTTTTTTTTCTGTTGCAGTTTAAGATATTATATTCTACGAATGAAAGTATGTGATGTGAGTCCGTCCACAGTCGTTTAGTGACTGATAACTCGCTGGACATAAGAAAAATATGTCAATAACGTTACAATAATACTATATGATCAACTATTTTGTCGAGTTCCAAAAAAAAAAAAAAATCAACTATTCTGTCGAAAAAATCAATTTTTGTCGAGTAAATCAACTTTTATTGGAATCCCTTCAGAAAACCCACGTGATTCCCTTTATTTAATTGGTGCCATTTTATTTTACTGGTTTCTACAATGCACATAAATTGGAGTTTGTACTTTACAAAATAGAACTACAGTTTCAAGATCACACCTTGCTTCGGTTCTCTGTATTATTGTAAGTTCTTCTCTTTTCCCTTTTGAGTTTACTTTTATGGTTTCTTTTAAGTTTCTATAAAGTTGTTTCTTTTGTCCACAAAAGAATACATATTTTCTTACCTGCTCTGTTTTGTCATTATAGTTTATTTTCTGGTAGTCATGGTTTAACATCTTTTGCTCTTCTGACTCAAGAGCTGAGTTGGTACCGTACCGGATGTTCTTGTGAATCTATTTTGAGTAGCTGAATACTCGTTTACTTGGAACAAAGGGTCTTTCTTACAAGTCTCTGTTATAAGTTATAACATTGTATGGTTTGGTTTATGCTAGCTGTAAAAAGCTAGAAACGTTCCTAATTAAGTTAGGCCACCATTAACGGGGTATATTAGGGGATTCTTAACAAGAAGTAGTGCGTGGGCTCCCTCCAAAATGCCAAGAACCAGTTACAAAAGTGGCCAAATAAGAACTGCCGGTTCCTTGCACTGTTCGCGAGCCCCACTGATACGTGATGGCCTGTGATTAGTTTGCTTTATAATTGTTTTTTAATCAGAGAAAAAGAATTAAATTAAGAATCCCAAATGGGTATGGGATAATGATGTTCTTAGGACATTTAAAATGTGAAAACTGTGTCCATAGTCGGCGTCATTGTATCTAATGTTGTAGGAGTTTTCTAATCATTGGTACATTTCGACCTTTGTATTCTTAGGATTTGGTCGAGCTTCAGGGCTCTTTATAGAGCCATTCATGTCAAACCGCATCGCAAATGTATCAGTTGAACGTGACTTAGAGATGTCAGAGTCAGAGAGGAGAACCAACAACCAAGGAGAAGTTGTTATCAATGTTTCAGAAGCGTCAACAAACCCATCAGCATCTCCTTCTTCCAAGGCACCAACATTACCTACGTCAGATAATGGGAATCCAAAACCAGATCCGTTAAGCATTCCTCCTCCTGAAATCTACAGATTGTCTGGTAATCTTCATAAGCCGCCTAAAGTTCCAAGTCCTAGCACTGAAGGTTTAGTACGAAGGAGGTCTCTTTCGAAATCAGTTTACTCCAAGTCCAACTCAAGGTTTGGGCAACAACCGTCTTATCGGTTTGATAAGACTATAGTTGAGGAAAACGGTGGAAGCCTTAGGGACCAGTTTGCTGCTTCTTCATTTTCAAGAAAATCTTTTGGCAGGGCTTCTCCTAATAACAAATCGAATAGGAGTGTTTGCTCAACAGCTCTGAGTAAAGTTGCTGAAGAAGAAACGGATGAAAATGAAGAAATCTACGAAAAGGTTAAGCTACACCGAGTAAAACGTAATGGAATGAAACCTATAGCTCTTCTTGAGTTGCTACTGTTTGTGGTTATTCTTTGCACTTTGGTTGTGAGCTTAACCTATGATACAGTGAAGGAACATTGTATTTGGGGTTTGGAAGTGTGGAAATGGTGTGTTCTTGTGATGGTGACACTTAGCGGTATGTTTGTGACAAACTGGTTCATGCATATAGTGGTGTTTATCATAGAGAGGAACTATCTTCTACGTAAAAAAGTGTTGTATTTTGTGCATGGCTTGAAGAAGAACGTTCAAGTGTTCATTTGGTTCAGCCTGGTTCTTCTTGCTTGGGTGTTTCTCTTCGAAGATGACGATAAACACACTCGTAAGACCAAGAAGTTTCTCGACTTTATAACTTGGACTATTGTCTCCCTCCTCATTGGGTCAATCCTTTTCTTGGCCAAGACATTTGCCTTGAAAGTTCTTGCGTCAAAGTTCAACGTTAGAAACTTCTTTGAGAGGATTCAAGAGTCTGTCTTTCACCAGTACGTTCTCCAAACCCTCTCGGGGCCTCCGCTTATAGAAGAGGCAGAGAGAGTTGGGCGTGAACCAAGTACAGGCCACCTTAGTTTCACAAGCACCAAGGATGGAAAGGTGAAAGAGAAGAAGGTGCTTGATATGGGAAAGGTTCACAAGATGAAGCAAGAGAAGGTCTCAGCTTGGACAATGCGAGTTTTGATTGAAGCTGTGGGAGCATCTGGTCTCTCAACCATATCTAACACTTTAGATGAGTGTAGCAATGAAAAAGATAAAACTGATAAAGAGATAACTAATGAGATGGAGGCTGTAGCTGCTGCTTATGATATTTTCAATAATGTTGCTCAGCCAAACCATAAGTGAGTTTCATCCCATCAACATTGTCATTTTTTTTTAGTTTTCATCCTAATCATAATAACTTGATATTGCTTCTTTTCAGTTACATTGAGGAAGATGACTTGCTGAGGTTTATGATTAAGGAAGAGGTAGACCTTGTACTTCCTTTAATAGATGGTGGCGAGACTGGAAAAATCACACGTAACGCTTTTACAGAATGGGTGGTAATATTCTTTAAATACATTCCCAATGATATTGGCTGGCTTTGGTTTTATTTGTCATTCATAGTTATTTGGAGATGTTTTATTTGAAGTTTAGTGTGTAAACATGTGTTGATATTTTTGACAGGTTAACGTTTACACTAGTCGGAAAGCACTAGGACATTCACTGAACGATACAAAAACAGCGGTTAGGCAGGTGGACAAACTTATAACTGGAGTCTTGTACGTTGTCACGTTCATCATTTGGTTGATACTTCTGGACGTATTAACGACCAAGTTTTTGGTGGTTTTCTCCGCAAAATTAGTGGGTCTTGCTTTTATAGTCGGAAGCACTTGCAAGAATATCTTTGAATCCTTTATATTTGTCTTCGTGATGCATCCTTATGACGTCGGTGATCGTTGTGTTATTGACGGTGTGACGGTAAAACAAACAACTTTTAAATGTATTTTTCTCAATATTACTACTCATTTTAAATCTATAATCCTCTTTCTTTCTTTTTTTTTTGTTGGTTTTGAAGTTGTTGGTTGAAGAAATAGATCTTATGAGTACCGTGTTCCTCAAGCTTGATAACGAGAAAGTTTTCTATCCTAATGCGACTTTGGTATCAAAACCAATAAGCAATTTCTACAGAAGTCCAGATATGGGAGACTCGATACAATTCTCCATCGCTTTCTCAACGCCGGCAGCGAAAATAGCCACTCTCAAGGAGAAAGTCACAGAGTAAGTATTTAGCAAAACAATAACCATTCAAAGCTCACTCGCTTACTCATTCATTTATTCACTTACTTACTAACTCCCTTACTCATTTATTCACTTACTTACTAACTCCCTTACTCATTTATTCACTTACTAACTCACTCACTAATTATGTATTGATGAAAACTTGATGTGTCATTGGTCAGGTACTTGGTGCAGAACCCACAAAATTGGTATCCAGAACTCATGTTGTTGGTGAAAGCGATTGAGAATGTGAACAAGTTGAATTTGAACTTGGTCGTCACACACACCATCAACTTCCAAAATTACGGGGAGAAGAATCTGAGGAGAACCGGGCTGGTCATTGCGCTCAAGCAAATACTTGAGGACCTAGAAATCGATTACACCCTCCTTCCTCAAGATGTTCAACTTACCGGTCACAAATGACCACTTCTTTTTATGTCTTTTTTTGCATTTGTTCTTTCTACTTGTACTAGTTATTACAACATGATTTTCTTCAGTTTACGTTTTTGGTATGGATTGATTTAGTAATATTTTATCCTTTCTTATCAAACCAAACCGTCTTTAGTTTCTGGTATTGATCGATTTAGTAGTACCGGTCTAACGAGTTCTCACGTAAAATTAAACAGTTTAACGTCTATGATACCTTTAATGAATTTATGTATATAATAAAAACGAATTTCTATTATTAATATTAGATGTATAATATTAGATAATGTTTATAAATTAAAATATACATATTTTAAAAATAAGATAAGTCATATGTAATAAAACATAAATAAATAAGTATTCGTAAAATTATTATGCGGGCAAAACACTAGCTGGTATATTAAATCCTAAAGAAGAACATACTAGTACTTTTAACTGGTTTCGAGATCAATAAACATTAACCAACCTAATTGGATTTGTTGATTCTTTATTCACAAACAATATAGTTTGTCAACCAAACTAAACCGGGATAGCTTGAGAAACAAGAAATCTAAAAACACAAACAATGTCGAAAGACAACGACCAGTTATGTGCTGAGAAATATTTGAGTGAGTCTAAGAAAAAACACTCCGCTCTAGGTAAGAGTTGATCGTTAAAAGAACGAAACGGTAATACTCATGAACACTGAATTCATGTAGTGGCCAAGTAATATTCCATTTATTGGTTAATCAGTATTTAATTAGCGAAAGACTGACCACTGGTTTCATAATCTTTTTTTCAGTGGCCAATCTGTGACATATCTAAAAATTATTATAGTGATAATCGTCTTCACAACTTTATTCTTCACCAAATTGTGTGGCTTCTCGAATTCATGTTCTTCTTCTTAGGTAAAGCACGTCATTTAATTAATCTGTAATAATCTTTACATAAAGTTCGGTGGAGATAGGACAAGAGTCTGTTTAGAAACTCATGCTTTTAACAATACCTAAAAGAATATAAACTAAAATATGTATATACAACATTCGCTAAACATAAGAAAAATATGTCAATAAATTAAAAAAAATTCAAGATTTCTGTTAATGAATGAAACTAAGTCTCACATCGGTAGTTGGAGAAGTATATAAGTAATATATAAAGGGTTAGGACCAATCCACTTATCACCAATTGGTTTTAAGTTGGAAACCCATAATAACCCAAAGTTAACATGGTATCAGAGCCACCCAATGTTGGGCCACTCCGTGGATGTTGTTCCCACAGTTGTCCACGCATGAGCGTGAGGGGGAGTGTTAATGAATGAAACTAAGTCCCACATCGGTAGTTGGAGAAGTATATAAGTAATATATAAAGGGTTAGGACCAATCCACTTATCACCAATTGGTTTTAAGTTGGAAACCCATAATAACCCGAATCTAACAATTTCAGTGATCATATACGTCCATATTCATGTCATCGGAAGCATAAACTTTTATGGGAATCGCTTCAGAAACCCACGTGATTCTCTTTCTTTTATTGCCACCCATTTGTATTATCATGGATGAATCTAGAACTTGGTTGGTTTATAAAATGCACTTAAAATGGAATTCTTACTTTGCAAACCAAGACGTAAGTGTCAAGATCACTCCTTGCTTTCTGTGTCCTTGTAAGATCTTCTGCTCTTCTCCTTTTATTCCACAAAAGAATACAGAGTTCCTTACCTCTGCTCTGTTTTGTCATTTTGTAGCTTCTATGTGATTTTAACTGTTCTTGTTTGTTTTCTGGTAGTCATCGGTTAAAATCTCTTGTAATATCTTCTGGCTTAGGAGCTGATGTCTGTAACTTTTTTTTATTGTTGGTTGTAATAATTTCATATATCCAATACTCTAATTAGGCCCTGCTGATTTTTTTCTTTCTGTGAAACTATGCATATTTGTTTTGGAGAACTTGTGGTCCTTAACGGATTTCTTCTGATAACTGGTGGGGTTTTTAGAAAGTTCCTTAGTGTTGATTTGAGTAGTTAAATACTCATTTACAAAAAAAAAAAATACTCATTTACTAATAACAAATGGTCTTTCTTGAAGACCTTTGTTCTAGCCTTATAGGGTTTGGTTTATTCTTTAATGTTTAGCTTTTATATTATTCAAAAATGGTATAACCGCTTCTAAGTTTGGTCATTTAAAACCCAAGCAGTTAAATCATTGTCCAAAGTGGGTGTCATTGTATCTAATAGCGTAATTGTTGGTGACTGATCTAATCATTGGTAGACTTTTCTATCATTGTGTTCTTAGGAATTTACTATAGCTTTTTGGGATCTTCAGAGAGCCATTGGCGTCAAATCACATCACAAATTTATTGGTTGGTGGTGGTGACTTTGGGATGGCAGAGAGGAGAGTCACCAACGGAGGAGAAGTTGTTATCAATGTTTTAGACAAAGAAGCATCAAAAGATCATCCATCATCATCTCCTTCTTCCAAGGTAGAGGCTCCACCAATGTCAGATACAGAGACTACGAAACTAGAGCCGTTAAGCATTCCCACTCCTGAAATCTATAAGTTACATGGAAGTGTTCATAAGCCGCCTAAAGTTCCAAGTCCTAGCACTGAAGGTCTACTTCGAAGGAGATCTTTTTCAAAATCAGTTTACTCCAAGTCCAACTCAAGGTTTGGGCAACAACAGTCTTATCGATTCGATAAGACTATAGTAGAAGAAAATTGTGGAACCCCTAAGGAACATTATGGTACTAGTTCATTTTCAAGGACTTCTTTTAATAGGTCTTCCCTTAGTAACAAATCTAATAGAAGCACTGGCTCGGTAGCACTTAGTAAGGTTGATGAAGACGAAACAAATGAAAATGAAGAAATCTACAAAAAGGTTAAACTACACCAAGAGAAGCGTAGTAGTGGAATCAGACCTCTAGCTTTGGTTGAGTTGCTACTGTTTGTTGCCACTCTATGCACTTTGGTTGTGAGTTTAACCTATGATACGGTGAAGAAGCATCACATTTGGGGTTTGGAAGTTTGGAAATGGTGCGTCCTTGTGATGGTAACGCTTAGTGGCATGTTCGTGACAAATTGGTTCATGCATTTAGCGGTATTCATCATAGAAAGGAACTATCTCCTACGTAAAAAGGTGTTGTACTTTGTCCATAGTTTGAAGAAGAATGTTCAAGTCTTCATTTGGTTCAGCCTCATTCTTGTTGCATGGGTACTTCTCTTCGACGATGACGATAAACACTCACGCAAGACCAAGAAGTTTCTACATTTTATAACTTGGACTATCGTCTCCCTCCTCATAGGATCAATCCTTTTCTTGGTGAAGACATTTGCCTTGAAAGTCCTTGCATCAAAGTTCAACGTTAGAAACTTCTTTGAGAGGATTCAAGAATCTATATTCCACCAGTACGTTCTCCAGACTCTCTCAGGACCTCCTCTTATCGAAGAGGCGGAGAGAGTTGGGCGTGAGCCAAGCACGGGCCACCTTAGTTTCACCACCTTAGTTTCACGAGAACTAGTGGAACCGTGAAAGAGAAGAAGGTGTTGGATATGGGAAAGGTTCATAAGATGAAACGAGAGAAGGTCTCTGCGTCGACAATGCGAGTTTTGATTGAAGCTATTGGTGCTTCAGGTCTCTCAACCATATCTAACACCTTGGATGAGTGTAGTAATCGGAAAAAGAGAGCTGATAAAGAGATAACTTGTGAGATGGAAGCTGTGGCGGTTGCTTATGATATTTTCAACAATGTTGCTCAGCCAAATTGTAGGTAAGTCATCATGCACACAATACTCATACTTTCTTATAGTTTTTTTTTTTTTTTTATCTTTAGAATACAAACCTGAATTGTTTCTTGATTAATTTTTCAGTTACATAGAGGAAGATGACTTGCTAAGGTTCATGATCAAGGAAGAGGTAGACCTTGTACTTCCTTTAATAGATGGTGGTGAGTCAGGAAAAATCACACGCAACGCTTTTACAGAATGGGTGGTAATATTCTTTTAACATCTTTCCAAATATAAGGAATAATTTATTTTTGTTGGAAGTTGTAGACGCTTTAATCCTAGTTTATTTCCGTCCATGCATGTGTTGAGATGTTTTGTTTAAAGTCTTAAGTATGTTAGTGTGTAAGCATGCATGTTTTGCCATTTTTTGACAGATTAAAGTTTACACAAGTCGGAAAGCATTAGGGCATTCACTGAACGACACAAAAACAGCGGTTAAGCAAGTGGACAAACTTATAATTGGACTCTTGTCGGTTGTCACATTCATCATTTGGTTGATACTTCTAGATGTATTAACGACCAAGTTTTTGGTGGTGTTCTCCGCAAAATTCGTGGGTTTTGCTTTCTTGTTTGGAAGCACTTGCAAGAATATCTTCGAATCCTTTGTGTTTGTCTTCGTGATGCACCCTTATGACGTCGGTGATCGTTGTGTTATCGATGGTATGATGGTAAGCAAACAACTTTGAAAACTGTTTGCTCAATATTACTACTCATTTTCATCCAAATTCTTTTTTTTTTTTTTTTGTAGTTATTGGTTGAACAAATAGATCTTTTAACTACCGTGTTCCTCAAGATTGACAATGAGAAAGTGTTTTATCCAAATGCTACCTTGATATCAAAACCAATAAGCAACTATTATAGAAGTCCAGATATGGGAGATTCAATACCATTCTCCATCGCATTCTCAACTCCTGCCGCGAAAATCGCTACTCTCAAGGATAAGATAGCAGAGTAAGTATCAAAACAATAACGATTTTACTTACTCTCACTCACTCTGTATTGAACTATTGGAATGTATTTGGTTAGGTACTTGGTGCAGAACCAACAAAATTGGTACCCAGAACTCATGTTGTTGGTGAAGGAGATCGAAAATGTGAACAAGCTGAATTTGAATCTGGTCGTCACACACACCATCAACTTCCAAAATTTTGCAGAGAAGAATCTCAGGAGAACCGAGCTGGTCATCGCGCTCAAACGAATACTCGAGGACCTAGAGATTGATTACACCCTCCTCCCTCAAGATGTTCATCTCAAATGATATTTTCCTTCTGTCCTTTTGCATTTATTTTCAGTAGTAACTTGTTATTACAACATGAGTTGCCTCGATTCAATTTGAATTATAAAACTCGGTTTAGTTTCGGTGTGTATTTCACTAATTCTTTATCCCATTCTTTTTGAATAGTCTTCTACCGATTTATTAGAATCTGGTTTAGTGCAGTTAATTCTGACTAGTCTTAACATGTTATTAAACCTGATTCTATCCTATCTATCTTATTAAAATTGTAGTACTCTTTAGGTTTGTTCGGAAACTTAAATAGTAGTAATAAATAGTTTAATGTTGTTTGGCTATAAGTTTAAAGGAGTCGGGCTTTTAAACATTGTTCTAATAGAATTGGGCTTTTGTTTAATTTATTTTATGTTATGGTTGGCTTTAATCATTTGGCCCATTATAGTAATTTGTGTTTTTAGTTTATATTTTATATAAAGACCATATTCAATTTTATTTATTGTTGACTAAATTAAAAATAACATCAGTTTTAAAGATAATAACAATTTACATTTCAAATAATTTAATACTCAAATATATTTTATCTAAAGTATTTTACATTATTCAAATTATCATAAAGACACAAAATATTTGAATAGTTTTAACTAAAATATTAAAATTTTGTTTTCGTAACTTGATATTTATCCGAAACACCTATCCCCCCCCCCAAAATCAGTTTTACCCCGATTAATCTAAAATTAATCCTAGAAATCGTAACCAAACCGTTATCATATTGGAACCAAAAATTTATCTGATATTAGTCGGTTATTATAATTATTACCAAACTCAGCTCAAACCGAAAGAATCGAACCAGACGCAAATCAATTTATATAGATAACAGAACAGAACTTATATCTGTAGAATTAAAAAAACTACAAACATAAAGAATCCCACAAAAGTTGAACCCAAAATCAAACCCCAGTCCTATTACATTCAATACGATCATAGTTTTTGAAATACGGTAATAACCGATGACTTATGAATATTATGCTTTTCCAAATTAAGTTAAACCTGCGCCGGTGCGCGGGTCAAGATCTAGTTATATATTAATTGAGAATTCATAATTTTTCTTTACGGCACTAGTGATAATTAAGAAAATTTGTTATAATGTGACTGATCAATGACTTTTAATTTTATCTTGCTATATATTAATTGAAAATTCACTCAAATGATTTTTGCTTATGTGTCGATGTGAATTCTTATAACAATTGTTATAATTTGATTGGTCGATAGTTTTTATTTTTTATTCATTTTAGTTAAACCTAAAAATAAAAGATAAATCATTAACAAATTAATATTACTTTCCAAATAATCTACATAATAGTATAAATAATGATGTATAGTAACTAATTTTTGAAATTAAAGAATAGTAATAATGTTTTCTTTATTATATTTATAAACTGCATAAAATATTAAACAAGAGATAACACATTATATCTATAAATAAAGTATTAGAATAACTAATATTGTCTTATAACTTTCATATGTCTTATAAATTATTTAAATATTATAAAAAAATTTATAAAAATATTTATCTTGGCTTATCATACATTTTAAGTTATTATAAGAGGTTGTAAGTATTTTATAAAATTTTATTAATTAATCGATAAAATATAAAATTATAAAATCACTTGCAAAGGTTTATGCGTGTATTTGTAGTTCCAAAAACAATTATAAGGATTTATAAGCAACATAAAATTGTATTACACTTGAGACATCTAGTACATGTTAAAATAAAAATCATTTAAGTGGCTATCTCTTACGTATTGCTTATATAGCATAGTTTGATTTCAGTAGTTTTTTTTTATTTTTGCTTATTTAATAAAAATAAAAAATAATAATAACCAGATATAAGGCAAAACTAATTGAAACTTTAAACAAAGCTTAATTAATATAAAATATGATGTAATTATAGCTATAAGAAAATAATTTGTAGACTGTAATATAGAAACTTATAATATTAATAGAAAAAAATATACAAAATTAAATATATTTATATTAATAACTATTATAATAAACTTTTTATTAAGCTAACTAATTGACTTAAACCTCAATACGTTTTATATTTACTCATTATATATATATATATATATATATCCATTATATATATATGAGAAAATTCCATATAAATACCCCAACTAAATTTTATTAAGCTTTTTAATACCCAAACTTTTTCACTACCCAATTTAATACCTCAACTAATAATTTTTCCCACTTTAATATACAAACCTTTATAATTGTGCCCATTTTAATACCCAAACTTTGTTTATTTTAATTAACAATACTAATAAGTTTCAAACAAAATTTTTAAAAATCTGCAAAATCTAAGAAAAAATATTTAAAATTTCTAAGTTTACTCTAATATTTAAGAAATAAGGTAAATAAACTCTGGAGAAAATTTAAATGTTAAAAAAAAAAATTTGAAGGAAAAAAAATAAGTTACTTTTTTTATTTCAGAAAACAAACTAAATTGAATATATAAAACTTAAAAAACTTATTACAAAACTTAAGATTATATTAAATTTATTTAATTTCATTTCCATAACATATAATAAAATCAATTTTTTTTGTAAAGCTTAGAAATTTTAAAAATTTTATTGGAAATTTATTTCTATTGTTAATTAAAATAAACAAAATTTGGGTATTAAAATGGGCACATTTATAAATATGTGTGCATTAAAATGGGTAAAATAATTAGTTAGGGTATAAAACTGGGTAGCGAAAAATTTTGGGTATTAAAAAACTTAATAAAATTTAGTTGGGGTATTTATATGGAATTTTCCCTATATATATATATATGTATATTATAAATGTATGTCAAATGGATGCACAACAATGAAATATAAAGTTTAAAAGACTAAAAGATATGAAAATATAATTTTCATAGTGGAATTCATACTTCATGAAAGAAAAAATGACGATTTTCTTTATAAGAATTTTGAGATGAACTGGAATATTGATTTTATATTGCTGATTAGACAGATAATTTGTATGATGTGAGAGAATAATCAGTTATTCAATAATAACAAAATAAGGAATCATTAAAGATAATTTTGAACAAGACTAAATAAAAAAATCAACCGGAAAATAATATATGATTGTAACACTGAAATTTTTCAGAGTACAACAAGAGATTTGCAATAGATTAATGTTTATTATTTGACCAAAATTTGTAAAGGAATTATTTTAAATTTAAATTAATGTTATTGAATTGATCTTAATTATCTGACTTTATGCAAACATCATCCTACACCTTATAATTGATCCCTCTTTTTACGAGCAGCTCATTCTGTAATCTTGCATCAGCTGATGTGTTAGGTATTTTTTGCCAAGTCGGACAGGTTATATACCAAAGGAAGCTCGGTTATCAGGGATAGGATCCATTGGAAGCGACCTACATTAAAACATTTTGTATATATTGATGAATGTATCAACCTTCCTACGAGGGTTTGGCTATCGTGAACAATATATTTTGTCAATTCTGTTTGCGATAGAAGTTGAAGCTCTTTTTAGCTGTCATCTTTTGATTTGATACATGAGATACTACATGTATGGAGATGATGGTTGTTGCAGCCGAATGTTTTGTGTTTTGTACATACTTCAGAATCATTTGTGTTTTGATTCTTAAGAGCATTCCTTTAATTTAGTTTGTTACTAAATCCACTTTTTGATTGACGTTATTCCTCAAAACTCATTCGAATTGGACTTCTAAACAAGTTAAGCAACTGATCCTATCTATTACCGTTACAAGGCTTGTTCAGCTACAATGTATTAAATATGAGGCTCTCGCCACAACTTCCACTTTCTTAAAACCTGGTCTCATGTTGTCTTTTAGGCAGCATCTTCCTTTTCACCATCTTCTATCATTTGTGGAACACCATTCCTTTCTTTGCCTGATCAATATTTAATTAAAATTATTTCATATCTTAAATTTTTAAGTGTTATAGTAAAATTCTAGATAACAACAAAATATATCAGAATTCTCTTATTTTCTAAATGTATATGTTTTTATTTTTGAAAAAATTATTATATTAATCTATAATCAATTATATGATATAAAATATAAATATGATATTATTAATATATAAAGTTTGTTTTAAATAAAATTCAATAAAATTATCATTGACTTCAACCGTTTTAATTTTAATGTTAGATCTCGAATGCGTAAAATTATTTCGCAAATAATACTAGAGATTTGCATTTATCTTCTTTTGGTCCATTATTCTCTTTATGAATTATTTAAAATCGATTTTGGTACGTACACACATATGAATTTTGGTTCCAAATCGAATTTGGTTTTTATCACTCTTACAAAAAATTGGAGGGTTTTTTAATTTATTTATTTTTGGAAAAAGGAAACAAAAAATTTTCTATTAACCGGCAATTTAGACCACAGCCACATTGGTCAAAGTCGGCGTATATTAAACCACACCATATTCCACATATACTAATTGAGAATCATTTAAAAAGTTATAACCTTAAATTTGTATTAATTAAAAATAATTTCAATCATATGTGGCATAACTCTTTGTATTCTATTTCAATTTAACACAAACTAGGTGATTCTCCCGTGCTCATGCACAGATATCAATATTTATAAAAGTATTTATAATAATTGATTTATATTTAGTTTTAATTTTGAATCAATTTATATGTATAAATTATATAAATAAATATTTTATTATTCTAATTAGACATATGATCTTGGATATATTATAGTAGGTTTGATTATTTTTTGGATCAATAGTTGATTTGGTTATCAGTTCGGTACATCGGATTATATCTATTTTTCGACTTCAACTATAATAATTTTTATTTTAAATATAATAAAATTTTGATTAATTTTTTATTTTCATTTAGGTTGGTTATTTTCTATTTTCTATTTTCAATTTATTTTTCTCAAAACTAAATGTTTATATATTCTTTTTGTAAACTCACTTGCGCAGATCTTATCCTAGTTCACATCTTATAATCTGAGACTATCATATTCCTCACCAAAATTCTTGTCAACCCTGCAAAAGAAGTTCAACTCTACTCAATGCAAAATATTTGATTGAACTCATAAAAATTGGTTTGCGTTTTAGTACGGATTTACTAATAAAAGTAAATACC